AACAAGGTCACACTGATAATGAGATTATAAGTCTATTTGGGCGATAGCTAGTGTTTCTAATTTTTACCATAACTGTTTTATGAGAGTTTTCAGTTGAAGCTTAACACTGTTCGTGAGATTACTCCAAAGTAGATTAACATAGCGCACACTTTGATATTCCAATCAAAATAACAACATGCTTGTACTGAAATATAGTACATCGAGTCTATTGATAGACATAATTTAAATTAGCTGGAAACTCGGAGAGTTTGGGAGTGAACGCCGTGTCCGTGCACTCATGCGCCCGCATTAAGCCATACATTAACATGAACTTTGGGGCAGCTGCCCATCGTCGAGCACGAATCTCTCTCTCTCTCTCTCTCTCTCTCTCTCTCTAACTCTCTCCCTCTCTCTCTCGTACGCGTGTTCCCATTACGTTTCCCTCGACTTAATCCATCCCGCTGACCGTCAGCTATTATGCAGTGGTGTTCGTTTCGAGATATGCCCTGGAGCGACGTATTTCTCCTATGTACATTAATCTTCCTCATGATTAATTGTCCCGCTGTTTATTGTCAATATATTATCTAATAATAAATTATATTTAATATCTAATGTCAGTATCAATTTAAAATCCGAACGGCATATATTATTACATTTCGGATCTTGCCTGACTGTATTTTGATTTATACTACTTACTCGACCGAAAAAAAATGAAAATGAAAAGAGACAGGTGCGGAAAAGTAAAAATGCAAAAAATGAAAAGACGTAATCTGCAGCTACGTGGAAATTGCCTTAACATAAAAGTCACGAAAAATTCAACAGGACAGAAAATTCGTCCCCGACGGCCAGTAGCAGTAGCAGCAGGTGCCAAGGAGGTAAAAATTATACGCGCCGCACTTTCCTAAAAATTCATCTCTCGTGGGCGTGCTTGTTACTTTCAATAAAGCGTGCCAGAGGACAAAATAAATTTTTTCTCTTACTTTCTTTTCGCTGAGCGCTGCTGTGCAGTACTGTTCTCCGCGTTCCTCGGCTCTTTTCACCCTCCATAAAAGTGCTGCTGTCCTTTAATTACAAAATAAAAACGGCGGCCATCAAGTTAATTGAGACCAATTACACTTCTCGCTTGCTATAGCATCAAGTGTTTGTATCAGCAGATATACGTTATTGTACATAATGTGCAACGCTAAAAAGTCATTCATTTTACATGTTTGTGCGGCGAGTTCAATCGCTTCTGACTGCTGCATCGAAGATATGCAGGGAAGGTGATATCGATGATACGACTACACTCGCTCGAAGCAATTAGATTTGTCGGTCGAAAAAACGGAAAAGAAGTGAAGAGGAAGAGAAAGGCGAGCAATCTCGTCGAATCAATATGCGCTAAACACGCTCGACGTACCGCGAATAATTAGAACGTTGGCAAAGAGCCGGAGAGCAAGCGTATAACAAGCATCGCGGCCGAATGATTCCTATAGGCGACGCTCGTTTATGTGTGCGCGCACACATCGTTGTTCGGTCCTCTAGCGCGCATCGATTTGACGAACACTTGCCGCTTCCACTCGCATGCCTCCCGGCTGCGATTATTCGCCGGAAAAAGCCTGCCACGCTATATACTGTGCGCATAACGCAGCTAGGATATTGCCACGAATCGCTGACTGACTGTCTGGCTGAGTGCAAAAGTCTAAATTGAAAGGTGTCGATGCTAGACATTGTAAATATTCAACTTACTTTTTTCATAGCATTTTTTATATTTTTCTATTCTCTTTAACAATTATTTTATTATTTAACAATTACATTATTTCGCGTGTTCTCGTCGTTTCCTTCAACAACATTTACTACATCATGTAGTAGTCAATACCATATATTCATAAATTTACACATTTATATTATCATTTACCCTGAAATTTTTTCATTGTACCTGTAATTCAACGACACAAAATTGTTTTCCTCGTGCCATTGTTCTCAGATTTTCAGAGACTCTCACTACCAATGCATGCTTCGTACATATTTTCTCCATCGTCAAGATATTTCAAAACTGATGAATTTACATTTTTTCCAAGATTAGTTATTAACAATATATTTTGCGTTTTATTTTTAATTCTATGCAAACAGAAGCTCTTCTCTCACAAACAGAACACAATTTAAAATTTATATGGATTAATGAGTTTGTATTACAAATTAATACTTCGTTATTTACACAATACGTAAATCGAAATTTTTGTTAAATATACGCTCTGTTTCAACTAATAATCCTCAAATAGAAAATAATCAACAATATGGGTATTGTGAAAATATTAGCTTTTGTTTGTATGATTCATGATTACTTTTGTATTTTCAACAATGTACCTCTTTACTCATCGTTAATTAATTAATAAAGTATATTCATGCAAATATTCAATACATTCCTAATTTTATTTTCGATTATTCAATAGGCAAACTGGGACAGAATTTCGATATAGTTTTTGTTAAAGAGATTTTTCTAAAAAATTTTTACAATAATGTTCATAACTTAGAAATATCAGATAATTATATGTAGCATTCCTACAAAAAATAACATTATCGTAGCGAGTCAGTAGCCTATGAAACTGCAATGATGACAAATACAGCAATTCATCTCTATATTATTCAACGGGTGAAGAGAGGGAGAGAGAGAGAGGACCAGTTAAATATAGAGGTGCGAGCACAAACTGTCACATGCAGTTTAATAGATCAGAGGGGGCTGCAGCCGCTGCTACCGGAGTTACGCTCAAGGGAATTTTGCATTTACCCAAGGGACCATCTCGTGCTTGTGCGAGGAAAAAATGCACACTCGAGTTATGGCAGTCGAGCCAAGAAGTTGACTGAACTCGAGATCTCTACAGATTAAAGATGAGATCAAAAGGGAATGCATCTCGTACGATTTTGGCGTTACGCGACACTAAAATCCACTTTGTCGCGGGGAAAAACTTTTCGGGATAGACTTTTCCAATAGCGTGCGGTTTATTATATAAAAAGAGTTCTTTTGATAAAGATTGGATGTCAAATGTGATTTACTATTTGGCTTTAATCTACGAAAGTCATGTATAGCGAAATTGAATATTATCTACATTATTCTCGTTTTCTGTATGGCAGTTTTTCTGAAACAAGGACTGCATAGGTCATTGTAACTGGCTATATTACTTATTGGTCACATGACGTAAAGTGAAATCTATTAAACGAGTTGCTAAAATATCAAAATTACTTCTCGTAGCATAATTGTTATCGTATAAACTGCATGTATTTGTCGTGCATTATATTGACACAAGCTCAACAATAAGAACTACCCCGAAGTCTTGCGGAGTATCCAACGTTTGTGATATTATCGGTAAAATCAATTATAGAAGATGCACGTCAATAAAGTACACGTTCATCCTAAAAAAAGTTGCTCTCAATACCTTCGAAAATAATAAAATGATAATAATGTACCTCTATCAATATATTTAAGTTTTATTATTTTTTATATTTATTAGTTTTATGTATTGTTTATACATTTAGATTTCATTATTTATTATTTATTTTCATCATTTTATTCATTATTTCTATCTCTTGATCTTTGAAATATCTGAAAAATTTTACAAACAAAGATAATGCAACATTTCAAATTGTTTATAAAATTGAATCTGCGAAAAAAATAGATTAAGATGCAACACAGGGAAACGTTAACTATAGAAAATCCAGGTTGAAAAGCGTGGAGAAACTTTACCAGTAATTCATAAAGTAAAGGCGACATCTCACAGAAACTTGGAAAGGTGTTAGCTGGCGAATGAACGTCCGTGATGACGTGAGGGATGGAAGCTATAGCGTATAGCCTGCAAAGACGTTGGGAGCGGAAGTTTCTGCCAGGGCGGTAATTTAGACTCTTGTCTCTTTCCGGATTTAAACGGTATTAACTTGGACTGACAAGTAAATGTCACAGAGATTGCGATCTTCTCAAACAAAAAAATTTTTTTTAATGACCCGGGATTTTTGAGCCATACATCAACATTCGTAAGAATCTATAGGGTGGGGATTCAACGAGTTTTGATCGATAGTTTGGGAGCTTTGCGCGTTTTCTTCATTTTTCTCGATGGGGCTGGAATTCAAGCATCTTGAAAAATCAATTCTTTGTTGCTTTGAACAAGATGACCTAGTTTCGTAGAAAGGATGTTCCCGCTATGTAAAAATGTCGTAAATTGAATGAATGTCTACTTACTCTGTTTAATATTCTACATGTTACATTTTTCAAGATCTCAACTAATATAAACTGCAAAAGTAAGATAAATATTAATAGTACAACATGAAAATTTAAAAAAATGTAAAGTTATTTCCTCAATCTATCAATATTCGAAATACTTAAAAATTGTTCGAAACTCAAAGACTCATTGAAAAAGCTATTTGAAAGGAAAAAATGTAAATTATACTTATATTGCACGAAGCGATTCAACGATCATAAATAATTCAAGTTCTAATATTGCGTAACCGAATAAAACGTGAGCGAATGTGCCCCTGTGCAACGCTTTAATGGATCGTGAAAATATGATCTGACAGAATTCCATTGCACGGATAATTCGGTTTCAGCCAAAATATCTGTCGTTTATTCACGAGCCCTGGACACGTAAATCTGTTGAGAATAACTTCTACGCTTCATAAATCAATGTTTTCTCTTTATTACAAAGCTCGTTCGAATCGCGATATTCACATCAACAATTTTTAATGTACTATTTCATATTTATTGCTACGATTATAACGACTGTTTATTTTCAAAGATGTTTATTAAATAAAAATTTTTCAAGTTCAAGTAATGTAATTATTTAGCTACATAGTTACGTAGATGTTAATTATTAAAGTTCAAATTGAACGAAATATTCCATGAGTCATATAAAAATATTTTTAGTTTAATGTTAGTACCATTTTTCGAATTTTTCCTTTATCGACACACAATGATGATTTACAAAACGTTTTTGTTTTGATTTCCTTTTTCCGAAACTCTTTTTGCATACCAAATTTCCATATTGTTTTACTTGCAGATAGCGTGGCTGCGCGTAAACACACAGACCATCCTGACTATAGCCAATCACGTAATTACAAAAAATCACAGAATTAGCGTGACGCATAGCGACCATCGCGCCTGGTATCTGCACATTCGTGATGTCCGTGAGTCTGATGCCGGAGATTACATGTGCCAAATCAATACTGATCCGATGATAAGTCAAATTGGTTATTTGGAAATTGTCGGTAAGTTAATATTTGAATGAGTTTTATTTTTATTTTCTCCATTTAACTATACATTACATCTAAAAGAAAAAAAAATTCTATAAAAGTTTTCGTCCAGATTAAATATCTATAAAAATTTATTGCTTAAATATTGTCTATCCGAAAACTCGTTATATTTACCAAAGAGGTGTATTTGAAATGATTTTTAATGGTTGTACTTTATTCAGTATCGATCAGCATATAAAACTCTCTAAAAATCAGCAAACTCAAATAAAATATAACATTTTACGCACATCGCGCAGAGTAGAATTTTCGCTGCGAGAATACGTGTACATTCGCGTGACTTGTGTGATAAGCACAAATATAGCCTCAGCCTGTGGCTGATATTTTCGCATATTGGTTTGCAGTACCGCCCGACATTCTGGATTACCCGACAAGTACGGACATGGTAGTGCGAGAAGGTAGCAATGTGACGTTGAAATGCGCAGCGACGGGTACACCGACTCCGAATATTACGTGGCGTCGAGAGGCTGGTGAGCAGATAGTCCTTGGCAACGGTCAAGAAGGTATGATATGGCCTCTCGTTTACTTTAGCCCTCCACCCACGCAGCTCTGACATACCCCCATACCGTATCGACTTACATGCCCACTTTGCATATCTCGCGCGAGCTGCGCTGTGCAACTGTGTTTATATATGTATCTTGTTGCATATGCCTTCGCGCCACTTCCATGTTACGTGTGCGCATATCACGTGGTCCTTTACCGCGAGATTTGACATTTTCACTGAATTTATAAATCAGGATGCGTACGCCGTGAAACGTAGCATTCGATTACTTTGCAATGATCACGCTACCGGATAACTATTGAACTTCACTAATAGTCGTTTTACCGGGTAAAAGTAAATTCCAATATTCTGCAGGCAGCGAAGCGCGAAAATATGATTTAGCTTGAAATTGCATCTTGATTGAGTTATACTCCTCGTTCTATGGATCGCGAATAATTGATCTTGTTTTCCACGTCGGGTAATCAATTCAACTTCTCTTTGCGTAAAAGAAATTCCGCGAAGAATAGCGGGCGATTCGAGCGCAGGCAATTTATTAGCGAAGTCGCAAGTTGTAATTCGACGTAGCTAAGCCGGCCGCGCAGGTATGAGAGGGTTAACAAGCAAAAAGCTTATATCGAGGCAACGCTCGGTATCATCTATAAAGCAGCATAATCTGTGGCGCGCTCGTTAATTACACTTCTCGCGACAGCAAGAAAATCTGTCGAGGACTGCCGAGTGAATAACGCACTGCCGGTGAGCTTCGTTCTAAGGCATAACTTCGGTTTTACTCGTTCGCTCGTTTGCGGGTGTGCGTTTCAGATAATCCGATATACGTTTTCGGTAAATTCCTCATATTTCGTCGAAGAAACGTTCCTACCATTCAAACCATCAAAGAGAATGTCATTGTTTTGCGATGAATTATATGTTTCATTCTACGAGCACATCGATGTAGTTCAATGAAATTCACTATTATACAGGTGTTCAATTAAAAATCAACTAAATTCCCTTAAAAACCAAATGTGGATTTTATCAATTTGCTGCATAATTTTATCAAAATTCTCATGATAATCAATTAATTTAACTAATAATCACCTTTTAACCATTGTGAACCGCAATGCGGATAATAGAATCGTAGCTCATATTAATTAATTTAATAATGAGAATTAATTAATTTAATAATGAGAATAATTATAATTACAGTTATAAGTGTTGAAGGATCATTGTTGAACATAACGAGGGTAAACCGGCTGCATATGGGTGCATACCTATGTATTGCATCAAACGGCGTACCTCCAACTGTCAGTAAAAGAATCATGTTGATAGTTCATTGTGAGTAAGGATGCTTAATAGGTAATGCTTTCGGATTTCACATTGAATTTGGATATTTTTTCTTTCGTTCAATAGTTCCGCCTATGATATGGATTCAAAATCAGCTGGTGGGTGCCCAAGAAGAAGAAGAAATGACTTTAGAGTGTCTGTCCGAAGCATTCCCCAAGTCGATAAATTATTGGACCCGTGAAAACGATGAAATCATTGCAAATAGTGAGTAGACAGCTTTCAGAATACAATATTATTCCTCTTACTCAAGGTTGATAATCAAGCTGTAATTCATTAATCTAACGTGATTTATTGAGTAACAGAAGCCCAACCTAATACTACGCGATCGGTTTGCGTTGAAATCCGATTCTCATTATTATAGTTCACTGCTTAGGGCCATAGCTGACATCCCAACAGTCGATTGATGCCGCTTTGGCTTTCCATTTCGCGGATCGAGTAATAGACGCTCACACGCGGGGAGACACGTTCAAAGATATGGAAGCTAAGCTGGATAATGATCCGTGAAGGTAAATGGCTCGCGGGGCTAGGTCGGTAGGTCCGCGCGCAAATACTCCGAAATGAGCGCAAGAAAAGCATGCCAACTCGCTTGCACACCCTGATCGCTCGGTTAATTAGGTTAATCTCTCGGCGCCGGCATTTAATCAGTGAAAAGCACGAGGCTCCGTCTACCACCAGCCTCCGCGAGAAAGAAAGCGTACGCGGACTGGGCGATCTCTCTCTCTCTCTCTCTCTCTCTCTCTCTCTCTCTCTCTCTCTCTCTCAATTTTCCGAGTGTGATTAATGGAGCTGCCAACGCTGTATAAATATCTCCCTAATTGCCAATTAAGAGATCACGCGCGCTTTATATGCTCTGCTGAATTATTGAATTTACGCTTATGAAAATCCCATTGTTGTTTCAGTCGATACATCGGGGATATCGACTGACTGTCCGAATTGTTGACTTCATCTCCGTGCTGATTTTCGTTATTTCGAGGAGCGAACTTATAATCGGCAGCATACTTTATGGTTGATGTCGAACACGCGGGAATCGGTCGCAGACATACGTGAGCGAATTATCCGATACGCTTACGCTTGTCAAAACTATTACTCCATACAACTGTCCGGCGCTAACTCGCGAGCGCGGGCACACGACGTGATATATGGAACGCTACCTACGGCAATATTTTAAGTTGATATAGCTATAGATATATTTTGTCGGGCGCTGATGATCTCGCCCGCTGGGAGGGCATAATTTGCTAAATGAACTAACTGTCAATTACGCGTGGCTTACTCTGACTGTCAAAGGATGTACACGGATTACCTCTCGCATGATTTCGCTATCACTCGCAAATTGCCCTCGAGTCATGTTACTGTTATGCATGTTGCGTTACTGCTGCGCACATACACGCGCACGTTCCATACCTTTATATATCTACATAACATCAACTTGGAAACATGGGCGCTTGGAATTTTACATCTATATTACGGAAAATCCAGGCGAACGTAATGTGGCATCGGTTTTCGCAAGCGCCTCAGTGTCACCATTGTTTTCATTTCTTACGCCTTGACAGGCTGCGAATCGAAATTTGCAGTTTAGAACGACTCTTAATTCTAGTTCAACGGACAATATTGACAGCGTCCATTTTGCTATTCGCATTACAACGCCAATCACCATATTATCGTACTATACTAGTTGTCGAATAATTACATTCACGTGGAACTGACATGTAATGAACCTTAGATAATGAAGAAAATTCACGATCAATCGGAAACGATCAACGGAGGAAATCGAGTTCTTGTACAACAATTCGTGGTGAAAATATGAGTTTACATAAAATAGGGAAGAAAAGCCCGTAAAAAAGTGAAAAGTTTTCTCGCGACAAGCGTCAAATCTACCAGTGGCGCGGCGTCTCAAAAGTTCCAGTCATCAAGCATGCGTCAACGAGCGCGTGCCGTCGCTAGCTTGATCCTCATAGAAAACCAGAAAGCGTGTGTGTATATATATACATATATATAAGTATATCGAGTATTTTTTGCTCTTGCGCAAGCGATAAAAATCGTTCCTTGTGACGCGCGATTCTACGTCGTTAAACTTTTTCATCTGCTTTTCAAACTGAAAGCCGATAAAAGTTTTCTCTTGAAACAAGGAAAGGGAAAGGTTTGCGGTCAAACTCTTTACGCTCTCTTGTGGTACAATGTATATATTCCTTCCATAAATGCATTCTACTTCCCGAAAGTTTTCATCATCAGTAGGTGGGTATATCCCCTCCACGTTTTTATACTTTTCATCTGACATTTCATCACTCTGTATATTCCAGTTGCTTTTCGTAACTACCATAACTCGATTTTTGCTCTTTTTTGGACCAGGAAGCAAGCTACTGCGATAATTTTTTTGAAGAGTGCTTGAAAACGTTTATAGCAAATTCAAAAATAAATAGTTGATTTTTTAATCAGTAGTCCACATTTCTACATCCTACTGCACAAGATGCATTATATTATAAATATATTTAAAAATTATTATTTTTAAGCTTTATGTGAATAATTGACACAAAATTTCAGTAACAGATTATACGTTGAAATTTTAGCGTTACGAATTGCATGAAATTTAATAATTCAATCTTTACATTATGCTTAATATTTAAAGAAGAAAATCCAATATCGGAGTGTATGAATACCTTGTTATTTTTTTTTACTTTTTAACGGAACGATCCAATATATAAAGAATTTTTGTTATGGCCATTTGCTATTTGCATCCATTGACCTAAAATACATACGTGTTACTTAAGAAATAAGCTTTCTAAAATTACCATTTTCAAATCCGATATCTTATACACAAGGCGACTTTCGTGTTAGCCTAAATCTTGAAAATATCAGCACAGAAAAGATATTTCTAGAGTAGTTAAAGTACATTTCGGATGAATTAATCGACAAAGCAAATTTGAAAATGAAATTTGTGAATAGAAGAGAGAGAGAGAGAGAGAGAGAGAGAGCGTACTTATTCCGCGTTCCCAAGCATATAAGGTCTTTCAACGTCTCCCTCCACCGCGAATCTATCGCGGGCGGAAGAGAAGCAGCACATAGCATTCGTCTTGCAAACGAAGCATAAGCCGATTCTTAAGGGCGCCGTGCGCTCAAGCGTAAGCGTCCTAACGCCAGTTTTTCTAGTTCGCTGAACCCAAAACGTCCGTCTTTGCCGCCAATCGACTGCTCATCCCGTGCGTCTACTGTGCTCCCTGCCATCCGACGCGGCGCGAGTATTCGCGAATTTTATTCTATCGTTACTGAAATATTCGCCATTTTATTTCGCTCAGACGATCATTCGAGTGGGTGAACCAAGGAAAAGGCGCGAATATCTTGATGTCTCCCTATTTTTTATTTCTTGTTTGCCGGTACCGTCACTCATTTTGTTTATACTTGCTGTTATCCCATGGATCTGACTGATCTATAATAGAAAAGTTCTGTAATGCAATGCTGAAATATTAACTGCCATAATTAAACCAACGTACTGTTTAGAATTTCAAACATCAACTGATTTTGTTTTCAGGTGATAAATACGAACCTGTATTACTGGACAACGCCTATAAAGTGCATATGAAATTGACTATAAGGTCAGTAACGCAAGACGACTATGGAACATATAAATGCATTTCCAAAAACTCTCTCGGAAGTACTGATGGAAGTATTAAGCTTTATCGTAAGTACGTTACAACAGTTGTAACAACAATTTATATTATCATGTTTTCAATTTGACTTAATCCCTGAATAAACTTTGAATTGATATGGTAAATTGAATTCGAATGTTTTAATTTAAAGTTTAACATCATCAAATAAATTGGACTACTATACAAAATTTCAATATGTGATTTTTTAATAGTCTTACTTCTGTTATTAATGATAGTTTGCTTAAAACTTTTACGGTGTCTATTAAAATTACGTATCTGCTAAAATTATGCAATATAAGAAATATGTCGCATAGTTAAGGAATGACATTAATAATTATTGAGATGAATCGATATGTTCTTATTCCAGACATTCCTACACCAACGACGACAACACCAAAAACAACTACTACGACGACAACGACAATGACACCCATTCTCCCTGTCACGAGAGGTAAGGCTATCGGCGATGAATGAGTTTTTTGCTGCTATTCTCAGTAAAATAACTTTTTGATCGTTTAGAGCTTTGGCCGACCGTCGAAAAGTTTTTAAATTAAAAAGTAACTTTAGCAGCAAATACTCTGTTGGATTCTAGCGTATTATTTAAATTATCTGAAAACTTTAAAGTAATTAATGCTCAAATCGGGTGCAGTATTAATTTATACAATTATCAGAAAAGTTCTTTAATATCGTTCTTAGGTCAAACATATGAAAAAAAAATTAAATGTCGATTAAATTGATTCCATAAAAATTTATTTTATGAAATCAATGGATTTTCTATATATACCAGCAAATTATACTTTTAGTTATCAAATTAATTTTCAATAAGTTTTACATAAATAACAATAATATTTCAGCTGAAAAAAAGCAAAGATCTAGGCAAAAAATTACCCCGAGCTCTGAACCTCGTGTCAATGAAGTGACAGGGTCGAAGACTGCTGCGAAGAAAGAAGGTAATAATCAATTTTGTATAGATTTATCTTCTTCAATAGAATAATTTACAATTTTAAGCTTATACCAAAATATAATTGTGTTTGTATAATACTTTAGGTACATGTTCACTTGATAAAGCTTTCAGCTCAAGTGAATTGAATCGAATAATTAATACAACTGTCAGATTCAGAACGGAAAATTTACGTTTAAAAACTGCTTTAGTTTCCTCTTTGCATGGTCGTCACGTGGTTTCGTGAAATTTCATATCTCGCATACGGTAATCTATTCGCACCACTACATTTGAATGCTATGTGCGGGTGACTGATACTAAATCGTGACGTTCCTTGAATCCCACCTGGCACCGCAACCATTTATCAAGCAAAAAGTTAGGGTTTCATAAAAATACGAAGACAATCGCAAGCTTATTAAATATGAAACACGTTTATTTACATACAAATGGAAAATTTTTTTCTATTTTAAAAATTTCTTTGCTGAATGCTGTACATAATGTCTTTATGTTTTAGATACTCGATATCGAGGCAAAGCAAATGATGACGCGACAGGTACTGGGAAAGCAGGAACGGTAGCAAATACAAGCAGGAAAAATGGCAACCACAATAACAATCTGGAGCAACGGCTAGATTTACGGGATAAAACAGCACAATCTCGATCATCGGCTACCGCCTCGGCAAACTCGATGTTAATCAATGCAAATGTATTGAGAAATGCAACAGTGACAGCTATTTTTATGTTATTCATTTTCAATCGAATGTTGGCTTGCACGTAGTATGCGAATGCTTAAGAGCAATCTTGTAAATAATTGAAAATGGCATATTTTAGACAAGTGAATAATAAACTGTATTGATCAGTGACCTAATATTTTAAAAATATGTGAAGTGTTACTTGTATATCAAAGTACAACTATTAATTGAAACTGAATGTGTTTCCAATATTTGAGAGTGACACGGTATCAATGAAATTCATCAGAGTAAAGAATCGTAATGATTAAGTATTGGCATCGAGTGTACTGTTGTGTAATAGTAACTTTGGTGCCGTTTATTAAAGACCAGTGTACGTATGTTTAATGTAAATTATATACGATTATATTCAAAAAGTATTGCTTACATGTTGAACCGATTATTGAATCGCAATATCGTTGTGATGAAGCCTTTTATTATATCATATTATAGCTTTTTCATATAATTTTTCAATTGAGTGTAAATATTGTTATGAAAGTGATAGTTGAATGCTTTCTTGAAGTGCTAGGAGAATAATATTTGTACAAAATCATGGCCTATCTAATTTATATGCGAGGCTTCAATTTCTCAAACGTATATGTTTATTAGTCATGTTAATTAAGTCAATGTTCATGCATTACTTTTGAAACATTTACTTTTACAATTAACCTGTGATAACATTAATTTTTTTTAAATTCGAAATTTAGAATTTCATCATAAATTGCGTAAATTAGTTTATTTTGCAAGAAACTGTAGAAAACCATGTAAATAGTATAGATAAGATTTGCATCCAACATGGAAGTTTATGGCACGAAAGTGATTGTAAATATTTTTAAGATACGTAATGGTTCGATGCACAATTATCTTAAATTAATGATAACATGTATATACGTATAAAATAAAAAAAAAATATGTTGGTGTTCATTGATTGAACTGTATGTGCAAACTTTTCTCGATACATAGGTAATCTTTCACTGCACATATATATACAACCGTTCAAGAATAATTATCATAAACGTATATATTTGAGAAACACAAAAAAATCTATCAGTTTTGGAATGTAATTGAAAAAAGAAAAAACTTTAATTGATTTTACAGTATGTCAGTAATAATAATAAATTTATTTTCAACTTAACTCTCGAGCAAAATTTCAGGAAAATCCGAGTCGTTCATTATCATGTAACTTTGTATATAAATCATGAAAACATATAACAATAAATAATATTTGTAAGTAAAAATTTGTAGTATCTTATTTCAATAACTTTTAAATTATGTTACAAAAGTAATCTATATATATATTCAAGGCTTATGTCGTTCTTTGTAGGAAAATCAAGATCTAATTTTATCTTAAATCGGTAAAATAGATTTCACCAAACATGTATTCCATTATCGTTACCACATGTAGGTCTTAGTAATACATTTACATAAGGTAACGATACTTTATTATAAAATTGAATTACAAAGAAATAAACGCTTTTACAAAACAATATTTGTTTATTTTGTTTGAAAAAATTAATTTATTAAAGACGATAGTATTTTAGTTTTAATAAATAGCAACAATTTTCAAAAAGAAATACTTTATTGACTCATATACGTTATGTACAATTTTTAATTTACTTTATTGTACAAATCTATTGTGTGATGTGCTCACATACATATTATTCTTTTCAAGCAAATTTCTATATCTCACTCTCGAAAACTTTTCAGCATTAAATACATACATTTGAATTTATACATTACACTTTTTATTTTTCCATTAACAGGCGCTCATAACTATATTTTTGGAGATCTTTCTTAAACTTAGAAGACTAAGTATTGCAATACAAAAAGTGTTTTATTCACAGGTTGATTGGCGTTGTACTCTAATTTATGAGTTTTCTAATGTACATCGGAAATTGTTAAATTTACTTTTATTATATTTGAAAAGGCAGTGTTTAATGAAAAAAATTATTTGATTAAAAGTTTAGATTATAAATCATATACATATTTATCGTTGCAAATAAATTGTCAATTGAAACAATTTGTTCCAATTAGGGATTTCGTAGATACAAAAAGTAATATTTATACAAATTATGTTACATGAATTTATGATTCTTTTATAGACGAGATATATCGCATTAAATGGTTTATCTTTTCAAGTAAAAATAATTTTTTTAATGTACTTTCGATGCGAATATTTAACTTGTTATGGGTTTTATCATCTTCAATGTGAAAGATATATTCCAAATTAGTCATTAATGAGTTTATGCAACTTCATCAACTATCTTTCATCTTTTACTTCTACTATATTTACTTGTATTCATTCAATAAATTTAGCATTTTATAAACATTCATAGTTGACAAACATTGCTTTTTAACATTTCTTTGGCCTAATAGTACTTATTGTAAGTAATTAACTGTGTTCATGGAAGAAAATCAATACTTCATTATGTGTGCAAACGCTTTTTTGTATCGCCAGTTTTGTTATTAATACTACTTATTTTAATAAATTAAAATTGCAAATGACCAAAATAAAACTTTAAGAAAATAAAGTTATCCTACAAGTTATTACAATAGCATGCACATTTATACAATATCCTATACTCGATAATTCATCATTAATTATTATAAGCTTTATAATTGACTGTAGTGAAGTATTCCTTGGGAGCTCAATCTTTAATATCAAATAATGATAAATTATCAAATTTATCTATATTCAAGTGTAAAACAATTCTAGTTATTTCTTAATTCGCTGATCGGTTAAAGATATGAAAATTTTTCATTTCTTCAATTTTCCATATACTTCTGTGATTCGCATATTTGTACGAAATCTAAACATGGCAAAGTAAAAATGAAAAAATGTTTTAATCAATTCGATTCTTATTGAAACAATTTTAGGACAGAGAATTTGGAATAATCATGGCTTGGCGAAGTGGAACCGAAAACCCCGAGCAATAGCAGCACCAGCAGCACGCGATAAAAAGAAAAAGAATAGAGAAGCCTGAGCGTGCACCCTCGAATGCGAGTGACGTGCCTGTTCCGGCTGTCGGATTCGCAATAATTATTATCAGTATACTAAGAATGTGCAGCATGCACAACGCAGTAGAGAAAGAGAGAGAGAGAGAGAGAGAGAGAGAGAAAGGAAAAAAAAGCGTGAGCTTGGGAGGGTTGGTCTGACGAACAAAGCGCGCAGCACGCGCGTACAGATTTATTTATTCCCCGGTCTATGTGCGTTGCACACCCCTAGTAATATATAAAAGCCAGGACGTCTCAACTGACAATGAGCGGCTTTAGTTCTGCGCCTAGGTCGCCTAAGTATCCGGGGTGGAGTTTATTTCGCATTGAGTCGCACGAGCGATTTGTGTATGTGCGTCATGCGCCGTGCGTACGCATTGTAAGCGCTCAAATTCGCGCGTTTGATGGTCCGTGAACGCATTTTTTGGTTGATATTTTCCAAAGCCCTGCAGCAGCTACTCTTCTCTTCCTCCCCCCCCCCACCTACTATCTACCCGACACTTTCTCGTTCTCTGTGTCAGTGAATTCCCCTTGATATGGAAGTTGCGCGCACGAATTTTTCGGTGTCGATTCGCTGGCTGCTGCGATTGTATCAGGATATTTGAAACGTTTTATTGCGAATTCAGTTGGGGGCTCTTACACTATAGCAGTTGTGTGAATCATTCTCATGCAAGGAGACTTTTTTCTTTTCGAGTTCGCCTTAATACAGCGTGTTTTCTAAAGCTCTTTAAAAGTGAATGACAATATCTCTCTCTCTTTTTCTCTGTCCATTTTAGATGATAATTGTTCCAGTTTCATTCGAATAAAGTACTTATGCGTATATCTATTCACATGATCCCGTATGCGTCACCAGAATTATCGTATCAATTCACCGGAAACATATTTGAATTTTATTTGAAAGAGTGAGAAAGAGACGCATTAAAGATACATATGAGCTCAAAGAGAGCGTAACGTTTGCCTTTTTCGCGATTGTCTGTCTACGATTCCGTCGCTACCGTTGCGCGTACTCGTGAACTACTTTTTCCATGCCTTTCAATTGACATTTCGACGGAGCCGGCTGAAAAATGTTGACGAGTGTCTGGAGCTCGTGCGAGCTACCTTTGATGCTCTTCCATTCTTTCTTACACGTTTCTTTTCAATACCCTGTCTCGCAGCATACTTTTTATTCCAACTTTTCGTTAGCCGCATATCTTTTTCGCGAATCACTGTCACAGGCGTGTATATCAGCGACGTGAGATATATCAGATACGTACTCTACTCGCATTCAAAAAAATAAAAATCGCGGATTTCTTCTTTCTACCATTAAATGTATTTTCGTTTACATAGATTGATGTTTGAAAGGTACTCTCAAGAGTATTTTCATGGTAAAGATTGATGCGGTTACTGAATACCTCATTTCAGTTCTCTTTCACACCTATTCGTAGTTCAACAGCTTTCGACGTAACTTACATGAGTCTTGATCTCTTTCACACAAAAATATGTTTCACTATATTATTCCGCAACACATTGAAGCTTATTTTTAAATGCAAATTAAATGCTTACTATATATCGTTCAATCAAAAATGATCTGAAGTAAAAATATTGAAGGGCGGCACTAACCAAACTGAAAGGTAATTGAGAGTATTTACATCGACCGTTCATTGCATTGCATTATATTAAAAAGCCGAACTCTCACATTCTTTTTCATGGTTATATACATGTCGATATCTCGCTAGCCCAGTGGGAATACGAGCATTTATCATATTTGGAGTTCAAAATAGGTCCTACATGCATTTATATAACATTCCTTTACCCAAAAAATATAATTTTTGTATTTCGCTCCGTTTTGCTTGGAAATCTTTCCAGTCATTATATTCTTTTATTATATAGAACAGATTAATTTTATACCGCTTTTATGAATTTCTCAAAATTGAAAGAATTTAGAAACATTTTTCTTTTTATTCGCAAATATCATGCATAAATTTAATCATGGAATGATTAATGAAATAAAATATGCCATTTAATTGACTGAAAAGATTTTAAATACTTGTTAAAAAAATCTCTAGAATGCAGCGTAAAGCATGGTAGGATATACAGATCAAGTATTTATGCTTATATATACAGTATCGCGTATTTGATAATATTAAGTGGCATTCGTAACAATTTATCATACTTTACTAAATTGGTAGTTTGAATATAAAGGCAGTATACGTTATACATACGTTGAAAGATTTTCGTCAGTACTTCTTTGTACATTGAACTGTTTCTTAGAGAAAACAGAAACAATAAATAATGTCACTGCCATCCCCATTGTCCATATATGAATAAATAAAACGGAAAGAAAAAAGAGACACGATCGCTCAGTCGAGGCTGATGAAAATAAAAATAATAAAAGTCCGACTCAGCAGCAATAGTGGGCTGTTGGTGTGGCTGGCGTGGTCGTGGAAGCTGAAGATGTCGTGGTTGCTTGGCCTCTCAGGTCGGTCGCAGCTGCGGTTGATGTCGAGGCGGCAGCAGCAGCAAAAGCAGCATAAGGCCGCAGGCAGCTACAGCCCCTGGGCTGGGCAGTCGACACCTTGCCTCTCCCGAGCTATAGTAATCCTCCTCGTTGTCCTCGTCTTCTTTACGACTCCGCTGGCTTGAATCTGCAAGGCATCCAAAGCAAAATGGCTTTACATATTGATATAGCTAGCAACGTGTGAAGCAAGTGTACGCATTTGCGCAAGCTTCATATGCGGAGAGATCGTTTTTTACGACGCTGCGATGCTTCGTAACTTCTTTGCTCTCCGGTAGGGTAAAAATTCTTATTAGTTATCACGTCGTTTCAGGGCAAACATGCTTATTTTTTTTTTTTTTTTTTTTTTTACATATGATGTTTTCAAATTACAATTTTTATTTTCAACTGATCTTTACTGTGCAAAATTATGTAAACAATATTGACATTACTTTCAGTTTGGGCTTTAAAATTTTTGATGATAAAATCGTAAATATTGAATCATTACCAATTAAAATCGTAATTCAATATTATTTAAGATTTTTTACTGTTTAAACGAAGGTTAGTGAAAGAATGATGAATGACAAAAATAATTTGAACAAAGCGTGTATGTTAGTAGTAGAGTTGCAATTTATTGTGGTGCACCTAAAGTACAATGAAACTGAATTTCTGTTGAGCCTTTAGAGGGCCGGAAAATGCCTAGCGGCGTAAAAAAAGCGGTGTTTTTTGCTACTACTAGATGAATATTGTAAAATAGATCAATAAAAGCTCAGTCACTCGTAAATAAATAATAATTATATAAAATGTATTTATTTCATCAGATGAAAGCTAAACAAAGCTAAAAATGAAAAATAGTGTATACGAATGTTATTTTGAAATTTTGAAAATTTTAACATTTGGCCTTACCATACCGGACCATGGTATGCTTTTAGACGCAATGGGTATGACCTATCAATATCCCAAATTAGTTTGGCCCTAACTTATGGGCCTTAGACCATATTTCTATAGAAAAATACGATTTACAAATTTTTCAAAATCCCGGTCCTCTAAAGGTTAATGCAAGTATATATCATGCATAATGCTATTAAAAAGTTATGATGATAAATCAAAATTATTGAAAATTTTACGAGCAGGAAAGTTAATTCTGATCTTAATAAACAGCCAACAATAAATAGCGTATATCCATCAATTCCATATACATATTTTGATAAAAGGAAAATTGAGAGTAGCGTACAAAACAAGTAAAGCACATCAACGAAAATAAAGTCTTGAATTGGAAGCGTTGACATGTAAATAAAGATATATATAGTTTCTGGCATAAATTATACGTCATATTTATTCACACTCACTTCTCTCTTTTAGCATATCCTGATTTCCCTCGAGATAGTTGTTTCCGGCATTCTTTCTCTGCTTACCTACAATTATGATACATTCGTTTCAGCTTCATTTGCAAGCACGACATCATGCAAAATGTGGGATGCTGTGTGGTGAATAAAGTCTCGGAGAATTGTAAAACAAATAGAAACCCATCGAGTTGAATATTCTTCTTTCGTACAACTATATACAATAAGGAAAAGAACATCTACAAATAAATCTATATTTACAAGTGTTTGTAACTCTTTTAGGACTTTCTCTTGTAACAGTCAAGTTAAAAAATTTACCTTCGTGAAAATGTTCGGTTAACAGCATTGTTTAAATTAAAAACTTTTCAAAAGTGATACATAGTCGTTCGAACATTATTAAACTGCATAGAAATAGTGAAAAAAAAAAAAATTATATATCATAAACTTGCATGAACTACACCATTACATAGATATAATATTAGAGTAGAAAAACAAAATTTCGCTGGATATAACTTTTGAATAAGCACCGATACCCATGTTTCTTAATAAAACATTTAATTATGACTTATAATCGCTAGAATAATATTAGATTTTCAAAAAAATGAAAAAAAAACGAAATATTTTGTGAAAATTATTTGAGCATATCTGACGCGCGTTAAAAAAGCTAGTTTGAAAATGAATTATCGATTTTAAATACCATTACACCCCTATGCTTAATTCTTTATACTGTAGAGGTAATAAGAAACGGAAATAATTTTCAAAGTTTGAAGGTAATTTAAAGACAATTAATTTTTAAGAGACCGTTCTTAAAGAAAAACTTTTTTGCTTCTATAATATGCGTTTTTTTGTTTGCGGTACATTTAAAATAAACATTGATTCCAATTTTTACTGAAAAAGCCTGTGATTTATTCATAACAATGTGTAACACAGAGGAAGGGCGAGTCTCGAGACAACGCCTGTTAATCTGAGCATGAGAGAATCTTAATTCCCAAATCGCTTTGACTTCGCGAGAGAAAAGACAAGCGTAAGAAACTTGGCGTTCGAGGCTGGAGGAGGCAAAAGTTCGTAAAAGTTAACCCTTAGCTCGTGCGACTACATAAATCTTTCGTCGAACAAGCCTCTCTCTGTCCCTCTCGCGAGTTTAGATCCGCCTTTTCGTGGCCAACTTGACATTTTGCATGCATCCCTCTTTTACTCGGTTTTTTTTTCCTTCAAACAAGTGATGACGTGGCTAGACGAAGTGTTACCAAAAGTTTAAGGAACACCGTTGGGAGCTTGGGTTAATCGCAATTTAATAGCCGACTTCAATATTTTTATTTTAGTATTCATCTCTAACAGCAATAAGAAAATAACCAATAATACAATGTCGAATCGATATCTAAAATTACGACCGAAAGTACCACTAGTACGTTCTACATCGTAAATGAACTTTCATTTATTTGCGATAATGCATTAAAAACAATAATGAGATTAAAGATGCACTGACAACCGCAAGATTAGCGTTGAAATGTTTATTATTTGAATGCTTGCGAGAAAATTCGCCAATAAAGTAATTATCGAAATAACATATCTGAAAAGCTTTTCTTTGCACTTTGATAATTCCATGCAAAAAAGTGACCTAAATCGAAATTTCAATTCCTCCTCGAGCCGGGCGCGCGCTCGCACATCCCATCCAGAAATAAGCTTCAACACCAAAAAGTACTCAGAGTCTGCTGAAAAGGAGGAAAGAGAGAGAGAGAGAGAGAGAGAGAGAGAGAGAGAGAGAGAGATACTAATGCAGATTCACGGGAGAGGAAAGCATATGACTGCGTGTATGTATGTTGCGAAAAGTGAGAGGAAGGAAAAATTATTACCGTTCTACGGCACATCCGCAAGTTCTAGGGAGAGAGAGAGAGAGAGAGAGAGAGAGAGAGAGAGAGAGAGAGAGAGAGAGAGAGAGAGAGAGAGAGAGAGAGAGAGAGAGGACAAACAAGCATAAAAGAGACGCAGAGGCGACGGTAGCGACACAAACTGTCCGAAAATTTGTTAAGAGCATGCACGCGCGGGGACACGTATATAGTCAGAAGCAAATTACAAATGTCGAGCACGAACTCGTTGGAAATCTTTTCCCCACTACCGCTGCTTTTCTGTAGCCACACAATATCCTCGGCCTTCTCAAGCTCGCTCCTTTTCGTTGAGGCTCAAAGAGACCGCGGCAAGTAGATTACACGTTCGTGCGCGCTCGCTCGCGCGTACATACCTAGGTCCCCCTGCCCCTCGTTCGCCTACATTTCGACAAATATATATATATATATATATATATATATATATATATATATATATATAAACATGCGCACGTACATATGCGGTGCCAGCAGCAGCAACACACGTGAGCAAGACGCGCTGCTGGCTGCTTACTGAAAAAGCCCTGGGCCTGCGGCCGCTGAACGCACGGACGTCTGAAAAGTGGCGGGAGATTCGCGGTTTGCAAAGTGCGCCGAAAGGAGAAAGCTATTTTCGTCGATGCGCCGCGTCGCGGTCCCGCACGCGCGCCAACGCTGTACTTTAGCTTGAATGAACGGATTTCATTGAGAAAACTGTACGTACGTTGATGAAAAAGCTGCGGCAATTGGCTAACTTAATTCAATATGTCTTTTTCTCTTCTTCCGTTTGAATAAAATATCTCATCGCCTGCGTTTATGAAAATACGAGATTGAGATTGACAATAAAGACCGCTAAAATTTCAACAGATCTCATTCTTTCAATTTCAGTATTATAAAAATATATTATTTTAGAAATCTTTAAAAGTTAACAAAAAAGCTGCGGCTTTTTATCGGTGTATTGGTTTTGTATATTAGAAGAAAACTATAAGTTACGACGCGTATATTACATTTTTATTGTTTTATTTTTATTTATAGAAATAAATTTCCTAAATTAATCTAGTAAAAGATATGTATCTTGCTTCTGAGTAAAAATTTTTTTTTTATTGTTGAATAATATAGTGATTTATTATAGAAAGAATCATATTCACTCGATTTTAATTATTGCTTTAAGTAGATTTATGGTGAAAATAAATAATATCTTTACCATCAGGAATTACAGAAAATAGATTCATATAATAAATATTCAACACTCGAACCAAAATAATTAACTGCCGTACTTTCTCAAACTATCAAACGATAATCCTGCACACCATATTGTGGTTGTGAAATCGTTGCACGTTTGAAATTGAATTTATTTTAGAAAATGTGAATATTAGCTGTAGACCTTGTTTGATTGTTATAGTGTTGTCATAGCTGTATGTTAACATGTTAGTTGATTCGACATTGATTATGTACTTAGTATGTTGATATTAATGTAATCTGATACAAGCAAGCATAGTTGTATAATGATGCACGTAAAATCAACTAATATTTACGCAACTCAAAAATAACGTATGAAAATGTTGCATTGTCCTGAGAACTAAGAAAATTAGATTTAATGATAATATATTTTATATACCTTTATGTTTCGAAATCTCCACATCAGTCGCATGATATCCAGAGCTTGCAGGTATTCCTAAAAAAGAAGAGAGATTGAAGCTTATACTTAAGCGTCGAACTGATATTTATGTCTTCTTACACGATAGAACTCTTGCCAAAATGTATGAAATAGTATTTTCTCAATAATAATCTCGTTAAGTATGAGACTTTAGCGTGGTAAATTTATTTTAAAGCGACATATTTAGGACCGCTAGAGTAATTGCAGCTTAGGGTTGATATTTCTACTATAAGAAAGTGCAAGCTTTTGTATTTATCATAAATTCTTGTGCATGAAATAAATACGATTCGGTCTTTCGTTCACGAATAAACATTACTTTGAATAACGAATAGTATTTGCAAGAAAAATAAAGTTACGAAAGCAAGTTGATCCGTGGGCAACATTCACCGAATTCAGTAGCGCACAATAGAAGAAATATTATCGAGGTCTTTTATGTATTCAATAGCGAAGCCATATATTCCTGGGCAACGGGCTTCTTTTGCAAGATTCGGAGGCAAGAGGAAGAAGGAGGAGAAGGAGATTTGTATCCACGTGCTTTCTGTAACCCGGTCGATTCGGCGAGCAAGCAGCTTGTGACAAAATTTATCGTTCTAAGAGGGGAACAGAGGCGGCCGCCGCTCTCGTGCTTAATAGGGATACAATGAATTTCAAGTCAAGTTTCTCTCTAGTAACGAGTACAAGTTTCCATGTACTTCGATGCATTCAAATCCCGTATACACCTACACACCAAATGTAAAACAATTCCAATCCAATTTTAATTGTAAATTGATTGTACGTGGGCTTGCAAATACAAATTACTTAATGTTGCGTGTATACGTAGATACGCGAAAATGAAAGCGGCTATTCAGAATGCCTTCTGTATTGCTGCTAATTAATGCGAATAATTTAACCCTCATTGTATATTTTACAAGTTTATTTAGTTCACAGCATACGTTTTACAAGCTTATCTTCTGTAAGTATATAGTATATCTAGCAAGAGTTTCTGACTTAATTGGAAATACTTACGGTATAGTTTGATACTGCCGTCGGTGTCCCCGAGGGAATTTCTAGATACACATTTGTAAGAGCCAAAGTCTGAGGCACTCACAGACTTTATCGTTAGCTTCATGACCACTTTATACGCACTGTCTATGATAACTGGTTCGTATTTTCCACCTGCATTCATAGATATAAATTAGTTATTAAGAAGTCAAACACAGCGCTATCATGAATGATAAAACGTTATACAACTCTGACATTTCTCACAAAATGAACTCATTATAGTTCATTTTGACTTCGTTGATAAATATTTTTTTTTAGAAATGATTTGTACAATTTTCTACACGATTCAAAATCAATATGAAACTTCACAATAGCTCAATCAAGGCGATGTAGTATACATCTTCTGACTGAATATACGTGATTTCCGTTAGTGTAAGTATAGTTCAGACCGTTGAAAAAAATATGTTCGATAGAATTTTGGAAAAATATAGCACAAAAAAAAATCAATAAATGCAAAATTTCATTTTTTACTTTCAAACTGAACTTCAGTATTGATTACAGAAGAAAATAAATCAAAATATTAATTATACAAACTTTTCTCCTTTAAGCTTTGACCCACTTTGAAGCAAGTTTGATTCAAGAGCATATTACATAATACAAGAACGCTCTGCAATTTGTATGTTTTGCAATGCAACACGAAACTCACTATTCATTTCCGGCAGGTCTGCTTGGCAAATACTAGATTAGTTCTAATGTCTTGTAGCTTTCTACAAGCATTTGTTTGATTTGTTACGACGGAATCAATCGTTCAATCATTCAATGACTTATATAATCAATATCACCTACGTATGTCGCATCTGACTTTCTTGTTTTCATTCCTGAAAAACATTTCCTTTCGACCCTCATCTCTCTAATTCCTTTTTCTCATTTCACCATATTCTTTCAGTTATTCGTATACATGCATTATTCAACAGCTAATTTCGCTCAAATAAACTGGCTAAAAGAAAACGTGTCAGTATTGACCTATTTAGTAGATGTAAGAGAGAAAAAAAAATTCATGCGAATGAAATATCCTGCGCACGAGCGTAGAAAGACGTTTTTATGGTGCACGTAATGCATAAAGTTACGCATTTTATGTAATACGACTCAATACATTATTAATGACCTCGAAAAATATCAGACTTCGTATACTACGCGCTGGTATTGTAGCTTTAACGTTGAAGGAAAATATATATCTAACATAGGATTTACCGCTTAATATCAGACAATGAATAGCGTGATGTGCGTTTACATTAGGGAGAATAATTTGTAGGAGATAATGTAATGCACACAGTCTAGTTTGTTATTCTATTCGTTATACCGTATCGGAAATATCACTTTCATGACTATTGAATTGATGGATATTTTGTTCACCTTGTGGTACAATCTCGTCCTTATCGCGAGTCCAGTAGTTGATGGATTTCGGATAGGCCTCGGAAATGCACTCCAGCGTGATTTGCTGACCTTCTCGCGCACCGATCAGTTGATTCTGTATCCAAATCATCGGCGGAACTGAAATCCATCGATTATGTCAATCAAGTGGATGCCAGCGCCGCTCTGACGCTTGATGAATTCGCACAGCTAGCATATGCTGATTTACGTTCATTTACCAAGCATACATACGCATCAATACAACGCATGTATACGTAGACGACTTACATTGTACCACGAGGGTAATTCTTTTGCTGACTGTCGGCGGTACACCATTCGATGCTATGCACAAATATGGTCCCATGTGTTGTCGATTCACCTTTGTAATGTTGAACGTCGAGCCTTCGACGCTTTGCACTGTTAGAGACATGAAGAAATAGATTTATATACTTTATGATGCTCTTATTATTCGTAATTTGAATGCTATGATATTTTTAAATCAATTTGGAGAACAATTTTAATATTAATATTTTGAATGGGTACTTGAAAGTACTTAAAACATTAATGATTAACTACAAATGATTACATTCAAAACCATTTTAATTTCATTATTTTGTAAATAATAAATTATACAAGTACTTTTTCAATTTTTATACACTATACTGCTTTAAATATTATCAAGGTTTCCAAAAGTAAACTATGACAAATTAAGAAACTAACAAATTCAACAAAGAAATGCTTCGGCAAATTAAATATCGCAAGGCAAATATTAAACGACCGAAAAAGTGATACAAAGTGAACGAGTCAAGCAAGCGACCACCCGAGCATCGAGTCACAACCCTAAAAAGTAATCCGTTAATCGTAGTACTCGTAACTTTCAAGCTCTGTCCTCTCTCTCTCTCTCTCTCTCTCTCTCTCTCTCTCTCTCTCTCTCTCTCTCTCTCTCTCTCTCTCTCTGCTGGCGGCCTGAAAATTCAATATAGCGATTCGCGTTGACCGGCTAAGCTGCAGCTAAAGAGCGCGCAAGCGAGATAGAGGCAGAAAGATAGTCGAAGTACAGAGGCCTGGCGCGAACAAACGAGCAACCGGCTGTGCACGCCGGCCCCGTAAATTTGGTTTACTTATCCGGAAGTCGTGGTCGAGCTGCTGCTTCTCTGCTCTGCACTTGCCGCAATCGAATAACCCCTTTGCCCTGAATATTTGCACACTCTTGACAAACTGCGCATACTGGACCCCCATCCCACCTTGGATGCCACTTTTGAGATGTACTTTTTTGCATTTAATGAAAAAAAATTAGAATCGACTCTCTTGTGTGGCCTCCTTCAATCGAATTGTAAAATATTGAAATGAATAAAAGAAATTCAATCAGAACAAATTTCAACCTAAAAATTCAATTTCTTTACGTGCTTTGAAATAACTGAATCCATTAAAATTTTTTTATTTAGCTTTAAAGGGAGTTATGTAAAGTATACATACAACAAGGCATTCAAAAGAAAGAATACCGAAAAGCTATGTAAAGAACAATGAGTATTTTCGAATATAAACCGACCAAGCAATCTATATATAACTAATAAATAATTTTCGAAGTAGATATAGAATTTAAAGTAATTTGAAAATAAATAAATTTTCCATGATGAAATATTTCGGTTCTAATTTTTTAAATAAAATATCAAAATAAGAAGTTGGACTGCATCTGAAGTAGAAAACGTCGGCGTGTAGTCGGACATAACTCAGTTGACTGCAACAATCCGCGCGGAACTTCGCGCAGAAGTAATATTATTTTTGCAGTGAGCGACGACAGTTCCATCATCAGCGGAGAAAATTGTTCGCGAACCACATTGTCGTTGCGCGTGAGGTCGCAGCAAGTTGCCACCATAATCGTCCACGTACAAAAGCTACGCTGCACGGTGAAAATAATTCGCTGCGTCCCCTCTTACCCACATACGCACGCGCACACGCCAGCTGTGAAAGCAAAGTGAAAATCTCAGGCTAATTCTCATGGGAGCATCTACACTTGCGCTACTGCTGCCGCTGCTGCAGCTGGAAAGTAAGAGGAAAGTGGAAAGTCCCCCCTCTCCCTGTGGTCGAGGATTGGCAGACGACCGCTAATGAAGCACTCTGCCAAGGTCCAAAAGCGAGACTGTCCTACAAAGCCGTGCCCACTAAAACTGAGCGATAATCCAAAGGATTCGAAGCTTTTCCTCTCCCTCTGTCTCGTGCCGCGACCGCTTGGCGGTTAAACGCTGTACTGGACCCGGTGGCTCTGCACTTTATCTCTGTGCCCTCGTGCTGTTCGTTTGTTTTTCGAGAACCCAGGGACCAGTTCCGCTTTTGAAGAGAGCAAGAGAGAGAGAGAGAGAGCCGCACAGCGATAGAAAAGCTTTTAACGGATTTTGCATGATTTACTTTTGAAACGACGCGGGCTTCAAATTAGCAAGCTACGGCCTTCCATTGGATTTAAGATTATATTTTCGAGCCGAGTCCTTAGGCTTCTCTACTGCGTCCAATTTTTAAAATTAAATATTTTAAACGTAGAGGAAGAATCGGATGATCATAGAATTCAACCAATAATTTTTCCCTTCAGCAAACCAATAATAGATGAATGAAATGAAAAACATTACTTTCCAAAACTTTGAGTAAAAGTCATGTTCCCGGAGAAAAAACGTTAGCCAACGAAAAATTTATAAGACAAATCTTGTTTACAACATGTTGTAATTTTTTCCATTTGAAGTAAGCATTAATTTATCAAATTTTTGGTAATCCACTTATAAATCAGTACAACAAAAATTTACACATTCATATCCAGCATTTGCTTATCAACGTCGCCATTACCTACATTTCCCCTTTCCTAGTCACAGTTGAACAAGCTTGAAGTGAAAAGCACCGTAGGGCTAATTTCCGGCTGCTGGTGCTCGCAAGCGCGGTGTATGTCGGATTTCGCACCACTGCGGGAGAACGCATATACAGCGAAAATCTGCCCGAGGAATTTCAGTTTGAAAGCTGACTGGCCCGTGCATACAAGTGTGTGTGTGTGTGTGTGTGTGTGTGAGTGAGTGTGTGAGTGTGTGTATGTGTTTGTGTTTGCCAATTTCAATGCAAATACTTCAAATCTCCACGTGCGCGCTTACAACACGGGGACCGAGCCCAAGGTCTTGCGACGGTTGCTTGTTTGTTAGCTCTCTAACAGCTCAGTTGGTTTGCTCCAACAACTTGCGCAAAAGACGCATTGCTGCCAACATATTTTTATTATGCAGGCTAATTTGATTAATTTTTGTATTTTTTGTCTAATAATATTAATACGTTGCATTGTTACATCGCCTATAAGTCGAAACTAATTCAGGTCACGAGAATATTTTATTTGATTTTATAAATGTCTTAGTTTGTTAAAAGTCGCTGAACAGAGAAGTAGAACACTCTGCTTATATGATACCGATGACGTACATTTATCCATTCGACGGATATTCTTGTCCTGCACAAGAAATGTGTCACTATGTCTATTCTACAATAGCTGATACTTACTTAATGAAGCATCTTAATATTAAATAAATAAAATATTCATAATTTGTCATCTTCACAACAGAGAAACTAATAGAGAAAAGAAATTGATCAACTATCCAATAGGCATTAAAGATATTCGTGAAATTTAGTCGTGATAAGGACAAAGTAGAGAGATTGCAGAGGTGTATACCCACGCCGTACATCTGGCTCGTGTCAACGTTTAAGCGGTCGTACTTGTAGGCATAATCGCTTACCCTGCTCGGTCTTGCTGAGGGAAATCTGACGTCCGTCCTCTCGGCGCCAATTTATAGTGGGTGCCGGCGAGCCCGTGGCAGCGCAGCGTAATGTAACGTTGGTCCCCTCTCTCACCACCATGTCAGTGCTAGTCTGATAGTCTATTATGTCTGGTGGAACTGAAACCATTCATGAAAAAAAGACGTATCTCATCAATAAATATTAAAGCTCATTTACGTATAGATAAATCAAATTAATTCTAGAAGATATTCGTTTAATTCCGTTCAATGATCAGACATCTTCTGCAAATACATTTTATTCGCTTTATTTCGTGTTAACAGTGTCGAAATATTCAAAATCAAAGCAATTATATGAAAATTATTTATTGACATATAGATGAGTATTTTGATGGTATTTGGTATCAGTAAGTAAATTAATGTTTAATGAACATACGTCAGTGAATATTGCATAGCGTTGATGATAAAATTGACATACCGACAGAAATAAAATATTGCCTGTTGTTCATTGCAAAGATATTTTAATGATGATATAAAATCATAGAAGCTTATTAAATCACAAAAATTTCGATAAATCAGCCGAAAGAACTGTTAGCTATTCAAAGTAATGACGTTTGTACCCTACAGCTCTACGATCGTAGTGTTAACGCGGTGCTCTAAATTATTCTGAACCTATAAATCACTCATTACGGAATCGGGGGCTCTTGCGATACGATCCTATTTCAAACTATAATAGGATTGAGTTCTTGTCATCATGGGGGCTTTCCAACACATGTGATGAATATTATGTATCATATTGCTACCCTTTGTTACTTTCAAAATTATTGTCAGCATTAATCCGATTTGTGTCAAATAATTATATATACTTGTTTATGCTAGCAGAAAGTAATGTTATAAGCAAACGACATTGAAGTTCCGTAAATAAAACTCGCGTAAATAGTTCAAGCGATGAGAAAAAATCCAAGACTAAATTTCGATGTCCGCTGTGTTTTCCAAGATAACCATGCGCTCGTTTGCTCTCATACGAGTGCATGGCTCTCTCAACAAAACCAATCGTCTTTTCATCAAGCTACTCGCGCGTGTTCGAGTCTGGCAATTACCAATTCAAATCTTCTTTTTCTTATCATTCCCTCTCTCTCTTTCTCGCTGTCACTCCTCCGGTTCGCGATTTACGTCAGTCCGAATTGCATTCCTTTATCTGCCTGGGGTAAAAAAATCCAGAGACCGATTTGTTCTTTCAGAGACTCTGAAATATCCCTACGGGACGAGAATATTACGTTGCCAGTGTTTTGTTTACGCTGGAAGCTGTCTCCTGACTCGAAATTATATTTTTTCAACGCTCGTCTGTTTTGATGTGCTTAATAAAAAAAAAAGCTTGAGCACAAGTCACGTTATTTCATCCAAAAATTCAATTTCCAACGATTTTTTTTTCTTTTCTCTGTGTACTTTTATATAAAAATTTTCAAATTATCTTTCAAGTTATTGTTAGAACATCCTCTCATTATATCGGAATGCTGTACAACACGTTTATCGTGGTTCTTTTCAAAGCTCCCTCATAATATCAAAATTACGCTGACAAGAGTTTCTTGAATGAAAATGAAAAAGTCTTCTTCCTAGCAAAATTTTTGCTTCAAAAATAGAATAGAAAAAGTTTGTTTGAATTTGGCAAAGTTATTGAAGCCAGATATCGGAATATAAGAGTCAAGGAAAAGCTTACATGTATTTTTATTCAATTTTATCAAGAAAAATATCAAATACTTTAACTAAGTCTATGCATTAATCCTTTTGAATTACAATATTAATAAAATTTGAAATCAATTAAAGTTTCAAACAACAATGATATGCAATCTGGAAGCTAACCGAAAAATGAATTTCTTAATGCCGATTCATAAATAATCATATCATAATTCGTTCATAAATAATATTTTTTAAATAAATATGTAGAGAATTTAAAAATTGAATTTCATTAACTAAGAAGCTGCAAAAAAAGATTTACAAATAATTAGATATTATTGTTAATGTTAAAAAGTATTCGATATAATAAGACTGGTCTCTGTAACACAAAAATGATCTCGAAACGAACGTAAAACAACAAATTGTGTCGTATGGTGTGCATCATATAATTTAACTAGTATTTCAATTTTCAATTACAAAGAATATATAAAATTTTGACTTCATCAATCTGACGTCATCAAATAACTCAGAAAATGAAGCAACATCGATCAAAGCACTCGATAACGAAAAAAAAAAAGGAAAGAAAAAACTGATCCGTACACGTATCGATGGCGAAATCGCCGGAACAGCGAAGTAATCACAATTTGGATAATAAACGATTTTTGGCGCGCGCGCAGAAAAATAACGGAAGAGAGCGAGCTGCATACAGTGCAGCAGCACGTTGTACACTCGGTCGATGAAGCTCTCATCGAGCGCTTTCAATCGTCACTGAAGCGTGTACCAGCAGCACAAAAATAAAAAGAGAACGCCCCGAGAAGGAGGGAATGAAATTGTCGTGCTGCCGCGCGTCCTTTTCTGACCATCCACCTATGAAATCTAACAAGCTGACCGAACGTTATGTCCTGTGCACTTTGTTTCAATAACCCCCTTTTAGTTTTCTGCTCTATGGCGTGGCTAATAAACGTATCATTAGGGGGATAGTGACAAAGATTCGCTTGGACAATGTAAAAAGCATCGCATGCATGAATCGAGAGTCGAGGGATGACGGTTCAACTGTTCGCATTTTTTTCTTTATGTTCGGTAGCACAGCAAAGACTGCGCAATAAAGCGGAATGATAACGTGGAACATCATATCCGCAGGAAGACCGGCAGCGTTAACGCGTCCTTTCCCGTTGGCTCGCTCACTCGCTCGCGATGGTGTGTTGTGCGTTCGCTCTTTTCTCGCTCGCTCGTATTTCGTGTCCCGCGGGCAGCTCTATCCCGAACTTATTTAGTTCCGCTCGCTCTATCTCCTCTCTCACTCTTCTTCTCTTCTTATTCTTTCTCGACGCGACGGCTTGCTTTTATTTCCACTGCCCTTTTTCCACTTTTCCGCAAGCTTAGTCCCTTTCTGATTCTCCTTTTGTTAGATTTTTATACGCCTTTATTTTTCCTTTTTACCTCGTCCCCTACTCCGTGTAATATCTATTTGTCCTATTTTTTCTAAGGCTGTAATAAACTTTTTGTTGTTGCCTTTTTCAACTTGAAATCCTTACTTTGATGTTCGGCCTTTAGTCGATAAGTAATTTTGTGTACCTACTGTTTGCAGATCATCTTCGAGGTTTGCCAGACAACAAATTCTAGAATCGATATGTTTACTTGGTAGCTTTGGAGCAAAGCTATTCGAAAGATTTTTATATTGGTTAGTCTATTTATAAAGGAAGAAAATACTTTTGAGCCAAAATATTTCACCAGTTTCATTGAAACAATGTATTATTTAAACAAATTCTTTCTACTAATATTATTGTCAAATATTGATTACCAATATTAATAGTAAAAAATAGCGTTGTAAAGACAAGTTACAAATCATTTTTAGATATTTTGTCCAAGTAAATTTGTATTACTCGTCACATATACTTTATATAAGTACTTTTACAAAGAACTACTAATGAATATTACATAACTTTATGATCTTGGCAAAATTAATTATTAAAAGGAATTTTAAGTTAACTTGTTACGCACTTTGTGCATACAGTGTTCTGAAATTCCAACATGAATTAGCGTAAGTTTTGGTACAACTTAAGAAAAACAAAAAGAAAATGATAAATCAAGTAGACACAAGAATATATCTATTAAAAAGAAAATACACGCTCGTAGATTTACGATACTTATTCGTAATAGACACTCAATTTCTTCTTAAATAACCAAGTCAGCATTCGCAGTAAATATTCCAAGCATCATTCGACTTTCATTACCATCAGTTCTCGTGTTACCATCCATTCTTGTGTCGAATCTCGGCATTGTACGGTATTCTACTTTATTCCACTGGGCATACGCGTGATTTTCTTTTTGTCCGCCCCTATCTTTGAATGACCGAAGTCACATTGGAGTGCGCATTAAACCGGATCCGCCCTCTTCCATCATCCCCGTGTCCTCGAATACGTCCCTCGCGAATAATGTCTTACAACACACGTCCACGCTATATATACGCACGGTACAAATCAACCCACGGGCGATTTTATTTCAGCTCTCCGCGATCCCGGAACTTCGATTTGCGGTCTGCCGATATGTCCCAACCATCCTACCCCAAAATCACTGACGAGCCGATTTCTTCTTTTCTCTTTCTCTCGTTTCCTTTTCAGGGGGTTGACACAGATGGTTATGTATATGAGTGCGAACTGTATATTTGTTCGGCTACGTCTCTTTTGGTATTTTACTGCTCGGTTCTTGAAAACTTTTCAGGTTGTAAACTTTTAGACAAATGTAAAAAAGTTTTAACATCTTGTCATCAAACTTACAGAAAGGGCTTTCAATAAATAATAAACATATTACTTTTCCGTGTTCGTATGATTTTATTCGCCTCTTTTAGTTTTTATTTTTTGATAAATAAATAAACGTACTATTATCATCATTATATATTTAAAAATATATGTGATAACATTTATATAAAATATAATTTATATATATATATAAGTGTAGATTTATTTACAAATAAGCTAATATTATTATACCAATATTCCTTTTTTCATATTTGTAATTACAATTACCACATTCAATCAATGTGGAAATCTATGTACGACAATGGCAGAGAGAAAATGTAAGGAAAATACAAGTTTTTCTTCGATATTAAAGGATATTCATTAAAAAACTATTTATTTATTTTAAGGTATCGTAAAAAATTGTATTTTGCAATATATGGTTTTATATAAACTGATTGTAAAAAAAAAATTAATCTGAATTTAACGTGATATGCAAGCTTTTATTTTCTACAACGGAATTACTGGCACCAGTTGAAATAATAAACGCGAGAATAAATGAAAAATATTACGTTCATAAGAGGAATAAAAATACGATAAAAATAGTACCCCTAGCGCACCAATAAAACACATACAAAACTTTTACAAGCGATTCGATTTTCCATTCGACTGAATTTTCGTTGTCCCTCGTCCGCCGCGATTTTTCTTTTTTTTCCAACTTGCAATCTACTTTCCATGTCGAATTTCGTTTTT